TTATGGGCTCAGCATTGTAAATCATTAAAAAGCTGACAAGTAGATGCATCCATGTTCCACGAAGCTTTTTTGCACATTGTAGCAAACGTTCATTTTGTAGAATACATTCTCCTGGCAGCATGTCGTTTAAGAATACAATCGCATTCCGCTTTCGATACTTTGTTTTATTTCCCTGAGGTAACGTTATATATGAGTCAGGTTATTCAACCATGCACCTGCCAATATATGATTCAACGGGAGTGGCGGCTGGAAGGCGACCGTCGAGTCTGCGACGCAGGCGCCGCTATCGCGAGCGTACTCTCTGATCACTCTCTAACCTCAATTAGGCCTCGAAGTCCCGCCTTTCCGCCGCCAATCTTTCCGTGATTTGTTTCACAATCATTTATTTGTCGATTTTAGACTAGAACTCATACTAAATCATAAATCAAATAAGAACCTTACCAGTGATTTTTGAGCTTCCTACTTCATACAAAAAGAAATTTATTCGCAAAAAGATTCCCGACTTGATTTCTAGTGGTCTCATAAAAATTTCTTTGAAATAAATAAAGAAATAAAAATTGTTGAATAAAAATTTTTTTCCTAATAAATAAATAAATCAAAGAATTGTTGTACAATAATAATTTAACATGGTAAGGTATAATGTTAGTGTTCATCATGAGGTAGACAGGCTCAAAAAACACAATTTGCAAGGGTATCTCAGTTCCTACACGTTCAACGACTCAGAGGCATCAGCGACTCAGGGGCATCAAAACGTCCCACCGCAATGGACGCGATTCTCTTAATGCATGCATCAATCGCATAGTTGAGGTTTTTTGGGGTTGCTAAGCTTTTTTGCAAACGTACAAAATGTAAAGTTCTTCAAAAAAATAGGCGAGGCTAAGCTACTTATTTGATGGCCCATTACGGCACATTAACATGATGCGCGTCATGAACCCTTAGTTTGTTGTTAATTTGTGTTGCACATTATTCACATTATTCAGTGGTTTTGGCTATGGGGTCCACGAACGGTTTTTTGAATTTCGTAGCAGGAATGGTTAATTTTTTTCTTTCGCTTTCAATCTCAACTATTCCCAAACAAGCGTGCAAGCGTTCTGCATTCTGTGATCGACTCACTGAAAATTCTGCAATTGCACACATTAGCGAGGAAACCTGCTGCTGTACAATTCTGATGCTGCTGCAAGAGAGAGAGAGAGACAAAAAAATCGAAAATATATTCATTAGAATTTTTAACCACTCCTTTAGCCACATTTTGTGCATAGATATTACATTCATTTTTTACAAAAAAAACCACATAGCTTCTGTTCATTAGTGCAGCTGTACTTCTTGTCGGTCACCGTCTTAGCCTCATTACTTCTCTATGTGGCTTACCCGGTAAGTCCTTTGATGACCCAACACTAATTATCATAAATCCTCTTCAAGGTCGCCGTACTTGTGCAAAAAGTGTATCTTCTAGAAGTCCCCTTCCACTACCATTGTACTTTTTGTTGATAGAATGGCGCCACATTCAGCTTGAGAAATAACTTTTGTCTCTGTACTAAAAGCTCCACCCTTTCATTATAGACGCTCGGTGAATATGTACTCAAGAGAAGGTAAGTTATTCTTATTTGGGGAAAGGCGCTTTAAGGGGGAAGGGGGTCACGCAAAGCACTTTCGAGAGTGTAATTTACTAGTTCGTGTCAATACCTAAAGCTTTTTTGCTCCCCCCCCCCCACCCAACTTCTCTCTAAATAAAATGGTCCGAAGTTTAAAAGTGATAGAAATGATTTGTTTTTCTTCGTAAATACTTGTAATGATTCTATGTTATGAAAACGAGCATCAATTTCATTAAAAAGAAACCTAAGAGCATGATGGCAGCCACTCCGCTTTCTGTAAAGTGGAAGGCGGGACTAAGGCTAGCGCCACCTCTTTCAAGTAAATTTCCCTCGCTCCCTTACCTTCTTGGAATTTTCTGGGATCGCCGTTGCTATCTCTCCCAGTTCCCCGAAAAAAGCAGCTGGTTCTAAGATAGATATCTGTTCTGTCCTGCATTGAAATTGAACAGATCAAAAAATTGCTAGCGCAACGGCAGCCCTCTTCCCATCAATCGGTGGGCGTTGCCAAAGCCAATGCCCTCCCCTTCGCCCAGTAATTTCTTCCCTCCTTCCCCTTTTCGTCACCCCTGATAGTTCTGGAGCCGATGCTGTTATCTATTATCACAGAGTACAAGCCATCTGAGAAATTTTGAGAAGAGGCGAAAAATGGGAGAAACTTGCACTAATTTTTTTCAATGTACCCTTCGATTCAATTAGCTTGGCGGCTGGAAGGCGGGGCTTCGTGACCTAATCAAGACTAGGTAATGGTCAGAGAGCACGCATGCGAAAGAGGCGCAGACTGCGTAGTAGGCGCGAGCGGCCTTAATTAGGTCACAAAGCCCCGCCCTCGAGCCGCCAAGCCAGTCGAATCAAAGGTTAATCTTAGGGGTAGTAGGCATAAGTTCCAAACTCATTCTTTGCTTATTCTTGAATTTTTCAATTTTCTTCTTGTTTTCAACTTCCGCTTCAGGATTTATCACTGTTTCCATCTTCTCCGTCTACTCTAATCATTCTTATTTGATTGGAAATTCGAACGGTCGTAAACAACCTAACCAATCCATCAAGATGCGATCTCATCTACTATTTGATAGGTTTTCGTTTAGCCACGTCTCTCAACGTACGAAAGGACTTCCCCGTTTCAAGCACATCCATCTAAGCACATCTTGAAATGGCCCTTTTTCTCTTATGCACGCTTAGGGACTCATTGAGTGACGGAATGGCCCACTCTGGCTGATATTTTTTTGCGCGCACAAAGAGATTTCGGAGTCTTCGTTTTTTGGAAATGCTTTTCTGGACTGAAATGGCCTGAGGGCACTTATGCTGATGCAAGTGAATGTTTTGGGGTGCGGACTGAAAGAAGCGCTTTGTTTTCTACTTTTTTATGCATTCTTATCGTCTTTTCCACTGAGGCGTGCAAAACATGCAGTAGTCGAGGATTTTGCAGGAATGCAGCAAAGCATGGATAAAAGCTCATTAGTAGGTTTTGTGGGGAACACCTGCTACTTTGCAATCCATTTATGCATGACAGGTGCTGAAAAGGGTTCGAAGAACTTAGGTCCCTACTTGCATAACAGATAGGCACCAGCGGCAGTTCAAAAATTTTTCTGGAATGGCGTGCAGAAAATTTTTAAGCAAAGTGAAGTGGCGTTGTGCAGAAAATTTTCTGGGATATTTTCCGAATTTTCTAGCAAAACTATAATCCCCATGCTCGCACCCCCTCCCTTCCGCTCCCCCCCCTCCCTCCCCCCAAGCTTTCTTCACATCGCTGGTTTGAATGCTAGGAATGTCCATCCGATTGGGAACCAAATCCCTTACGAATCTATAACTCGTGGCGTCTATTCCGGAAATTTCGACACATGCTCAGGTAACAAAATCAAAGCACTGATGTTCTCAGAATATTTTCTAGCAAAGGCGGGAAGATGGTCCAGATCCCTTAGATCAAAGAGACAGATCCCTTAGATGCAAGAGCACGATTTAGTTGCTACCTTCAAGAAATTTTAAAAAATTCGTCTTAGATTTTTCACAAGATAAATGCTTTTCAACAAGGCTGAATGAATATTATCCAGGATCAAACAACATTTTATATTGATGAATTTGATACCACTTTTTGGAATTTTTTTTTGAAACCCTTTCCAAGAAAGGGGGACATGCAATATGGAAGCTATGTAGGCGAAAGTATTGTTTGTATGCTTTATGTTTTTGTTAAAATTTGTTATTATGATTGTTGTTTATGTTGAAATTCGCAATTTTTTAGACCCAGAAGCGATGGCGTTCTGAGAATTTTTTTCGCGCAAGGGATGGGGGGCAACAATTTTTTTAAATGAATGGATGAGGAGTTGTTTTTCGAATTGTTGCTAAACCATGACCATCATTTAAAAATTTTTGAAAATTTTCTTAACGAAGTAATTTGTATTATTATTGATTAGAGTGCAAATTAGAATTCGAGAAGAAGCTTTCATTATGTACAAGTGAAAACAGTCTCGCACGATTTTGTAAGCCTTATAGGCTACTTGCAAAAACTTCTTGACCATTCTTTGGTTGGGAGGAGAGTGGGGGGGGGGGGGGAGGGAGAGGCGTAAGGTTCTGCGCAAGGCAGTTTCAGAGCGAAGTAGAGGGGCGCTACAGAAGCGAAAATCTTTTTTATTTTCTTTTAGTTTCTGAGAACTTTCATTAACTATGTAACAAACTTCTTTTGAATCAATTGACAGACTTCTGATTGCCTCAACGCTTGAGAAAAATTTTCTGGAAAGCTTCTTCAGAATGCAGCATTTGTGGGAAAATTTCCAGCTGCGTAAGTTCGCTGAAAAAAATTATAAGACAAGTGCCACCGGAATAAAAGCTATGGTCTTTGGTACCCCACGTCAGGGGATACTGTATAGATACAGTGCCGCAAGATTCTGTCTTATCCTGTATATGTCTAGGTTCTCTTACTCATTCTCAACTTATAATCTATTCAAATCTCTCTGAATCATGACGCATTTCTTCGCACATAATTAATGAGACGAAACACATCATCCCACTGGGAATTAATTATTTCCGCAGGCTGAATAATTTATCAGCTTTTGAAAAAGCTCTAAAAGAGCTTGCTAGGCTAGTCTGCCATAAAAATCAAGAAATCAAATGTCTATGAGTCTTGGTTTTTGTTTGTTTTTTCTCCACCTTCCAGCTGTTCTTTGCTGATTTACGCGCTTGTAAAATCCTCATCAAGTATCATTACAGCCAGGAGTGTGAGCTTACAAACATGTTTCTTCTTATAAAAACGTTCTCATGGTGATTTTTATGCTTTGTTAAAGAAGTGCTAAAATTGAACTTTTGATTTCTGAAAAATTTTTCCGTCTCACGTTACCATTTGCTTCTGAGAGTTTGTTTGGTTTGCGCATTTGTGTGCCACCGTCATAGATAGATGTTTGAAAATCCGTAATTTTTTCAGACTCGATCTGGTTGTTTATTATGTCAAGAAAATAATCAGCTCACCTCATCTGAATGAATGAGCTGCAACTTTGAACAGTCCCTGTATGCGATTCGAATGGATGCCGCCCGCGTTGATTAGCGCCGATAGCACATCTACGGAACACGCACCGCCAAGCATATTCATTGTCTACAGGTCTGTTTTTCCCCTTATGGTTACTTTTATGAATTTCCCAAATTTCTAAAGTTCTTCTCACATGTATTACACTATACGCGCAATATCAACCGATTTTTTTGAAGTTATGCGAGAACTGGTCACCGGCGGAGATGGGGACGAGTTTTCGTAAAATTCAAAAGATGGGTGATGACGTAAAACCTGATCGCGCATTCCAACAGCTGGCAAAAATCTTGACTCAACTTTTTTTCGAAAGCAATATCCAGTGTGATTGTCGTTTTGCGGCATGCAAGATAAAATGTCCCCGGATAAAAAATTGTACAGAAGGATTTTTTGATATAGCTGGTTTCTCATTGGAAATGACCTTTCTTTTTTGAACATGGCATTAGCTTGGACTGGACAAAGTCTCAGTCGTTGCCCATTTTCAGCATTCCTGCTCTGCTCCTTTTCTGTGTGATTTTCATCATCAAATGGAGGCCATGCTATGAATTTACGGGCATACCACATTGTTTACGGTAGGTGTTTTACCTATGCAAAAATAAGTGTTTCAAGCTGAAAAGAAAGCTATTAGTTGAAATTTATTTGCAGCGTCCTAGCATAGTACAAGATTTTGATTATTTTAGGTGGTACCTATACTGCTGTAGCAAGGAGACGCTTAAAGAAATGCAAAGCGTCGACCGCGAAAGAATTCTTGTCATTGACGCTGAGGTAAACTCTGCCCATTTTTTTGTCCATGTTGAAAGAAGAAAGCAATTGCAAAATGTTTTCGAGTGGGGGGGGGGGGGGGAGAAGGATTTGTTCAAAAATTTCCTAGTCAAGGATACACAGGGTAATCAGCTGCAGTGTCGGGAGCACCAGCATCTCCGCTCCACCGCGAGCGTGGGAAAAGGCGGAGCCTCAACTGGATAAGATCAGAGAGCATCTTCGTGGAAGAGGTGCAGAGTCTCGCGCGGGAGTGGAGATGCCGGTGCACCCGACACGCAATTGGATAAGCCCTGTAGTTACGCATTTGATATTTCTCAAATTCATTAAATGTTCAAAAACTACCGCAGCTTTTTTCCAAAATAAGTAATTTTTACATTGAAAATCACAATTGTAACATGACTAGAAATTTTGCACTCTGCAAACTTCTCCTCTCTCTTCACCTTGCATGTGATGGTTTCGATGAATTCAAAGAAATCAAGCAAAAATTGCGCGTTGAAATATTTTCAGTGTTTTTCTGTAAATGAAAATATGCTCTCCATAACATATAAGCTCCTGCAAGACGAAGGCGGTCGGTTCAATGCGCAACGCGGCTGCGACATGGCTGCGTCACGCCGCGTCACAGCCGCGTCACAGCCACGTCGTACCTCGAACCGACCGCCTTCGTCTTGCAGGAGCTTATAACTGTATTAATTACAGCACAAAAGTTTCTTCATCATTACAAAATAATCTCAAGAAAGGAATAATTTTCAATGTGGTGCTAATAAGAATCATCAAATACAAACTATATGCAAACACGTACTTTGTATTTCAGAGCCTTGCCTCATCGTCATTCTATGAATCTCCTCGAATGCCATTGAAAAAGCGTAATTCGATTGAACTTTGCTCAGCTGGAGAATGCCAGCCCTCTATAACAACGATACATGATTAAATTTTCTCATTTTATATATGTACATTGTTTGTTCGTTATAAAATATTTTGATACCAGTGTCAGCTCATGGCAAATAGGAATGATTGTTGCGTAAGCGCCTACATCTTTTCAAGCATTAGGTTGGTGCGAAAAAATATCGTTTTTTCCGTTTAATCCGTTTTAAACCCAAAAGGTTACAATTACTATTGAATCTTTTAATAGAATTTAAAACTTTAGTTATACACGTTTAGATAATGCTCTTGGGATAACAAAGCATCTGTAGGACAAAGAATCCTTTAAAGTAAAAAAATGTTGTACAAAGATATTTGAGAATTTTTCTTTTTCTGTAAATTTTTCTCGGACTGCAGATCCGAAGATCAGTAAAATATGGGGCAGGGAGCCTTAAAGGAAAAAATATGGTAATTCGAAAACTCAAGAAGGTCTGGATTAATGTTTTTTTTAGTACCTGATTGAGTCGATTAGCACAAAAGCGCTCCAAAAAAGTGGAAAAGTTTTGTCTTTACATTCTAAAGCCGTTCGTCATTTAACTTTAATGGGAAAATCGGAAAGTCGAATAAGTGAGTACCTCAAGAACTACGTGTGTTTTTATAAATGGAGCAACGCTACGACTTTGGCTCGACACTAATGTGTTATAAAAACGGTCGTTTCTTAACCGCATCTCTCCTGTGAATTTTACATGGCATTAGAAAACCGCTTACTGTTTGGATCACGATGAATTGCAAGAACACTTTGCGAAGCCAAAATCCCACCGGAAGATGACAATGGCCATTATGTGCAGCAAGCATAGTCCATTACAAGCGAAACTGGCAAAAAATATCAAAATATATTGCTCTGAAGTCGAAAAAATGCACAGAGTTTGTGTCTTAAACGTTCAACTTCGGTATATAAAAAAGAGCTAATATTAGGTCACTCCGAAAGTATTTCGCTTCTTTCAAACGGGCGCCATATCTGATGGAACAAAGATTTCTAAGAGATCTTGGAAGCATTCGATGCAGCATTTCATTTTCTTTCTAATGGTTATGAAATTGTTGCAAAACAGTCAATGAGCTTCCAGAAAATAACCAAAATCTGCGACCCATGCTTTTTGAGATGGTCAAGTTTCACGATTTTTCAAACCTTTCATATCAATCCTCAGAAGGAGTTCAAGTAAGATTCGATAGAGTAAAGTTTATAGAATACAGTGCTATTTTTTCCCTTTCTCGTATCTCGTCTTAATCTTTTAAAAGATTTTTTAGCAGAACTATCGAATTTTGGCAGGCGCGGTTCAACCACAATCGCATCAAACATCATAATTTTTCGGAATTTGAGACTACCAAGATGGTATTATGACTTAGCATTAATTTTACAAAGCAAATGAGGGTTTACGGGTTCGAAATATCAAATTTCGAGTTTTTCGGGTACAGCCTGGGGCTCGCTAAGAAAATGAGTTATGATGATTTTATCTCCGGAAACTAAACGAATCGGAAACAAAAAACACCATTAGAAAGAGGAGAAAAAGCTGCATCGAATGACACCCGAGCTGCTCAAGGTTTGATGTTCTACGAGGATTTAGCTGCCCAAGTATGAGAATCGGTAGCATCAGTTAACTGTTGAAAATGTATGACAAGCTAAAGAAAAGAGAAAACAGCAGTACTGAATTCTGTAAGGTTTACTCTATCGAACTTTACTTGAATTCCTTCTGAGGACTGATATGAAAGTTTCAAAAAATCGCGAAACTTGTCCATCTCAAAAAACAAGGGTCGCAGATTTTGGTTATTTTCTGAAAGCTCATTGACTGTTTTGCAACATTTTCATAACCGTTAGAAAGTGAATGAAATTCTGCACCGAATGCTTCCAAGATCTCTTAGAAACCTTTCTTCCTTCAAATGTGGCGCCCGTTTGAAAAAAGCGAAATTACTTTCGGAATGACCTAATACTTTGCAACAATAATGCCCGGCAACAGATTACAGCAGCCATGCAAAAATTGAATGAACTACAAAGTTTTCTTCCATCCTATAATGAACTGAGTATACACTGCTCGTTGTTGTTGCCACGCGGACCTTTAAAGCGAGGAGTTTAGCAGCTATCACAGAAAGTTACTCCGGCGTGAACTCACGAACTGATCGTATTCCGGTAACCTCATATAACCTTGGTCCGCAGTCATTATGGACGGCTGGCGTTAAAGGCAGTATCCGGGTTATACAGAATCAGAAAATCTACACTGGAAAGCGCGAGGCGAAAAAGGGCTCTAACGCACGAGGGTAACAGCAAGTGGGCGGAGTCCTCCCTATTGTGTATTCACGCTCCCAGCTCCCGGAGCGGTCCTCTTGTGCTAGCCATCCTGACATGGCCACCGACTAAGTGCGAACGGTCGACCCCTGTCGGAAGCGAGAAGATCGCTCCGGAAGCTGAGGGCGTGAATTCACATTGGGGAAGACCTCGCCCACCTCCAGATTTCACTCCTGTATTAGAGCCTTTTTCGCCGATTTTGCGCTCTCCAGTGTGCATTTTCGGATTCAGCATAACAAATAGGCCCCGAGTAAGCACAAAATCTCAAAATCGAGTTATTGCCCAGGCACTGCCTTTAAGTAAAGCTACGCTGCATTCCCCTGAGGTATATTCTGACAATGAGTACCATTCATTGCGTCTCGTAATCGCAGCCGCAGAGGACCTAACGTCACGCAGCGAATTGGGTCATTTCAATATAAGGAGGAAGTGCCTGTAGAACACAACCCTAGAGAAAGCAATAGAAGAGAAAATTTTTGATTGATTCCTATTGGATAAAATCAATGGAAAATTTCTAGTTTTTACTCTACTATTTCTCGAGTGGACTTCTCTTGAACACTTTCCAAATCAGCCTTCGTTTCATCCCTGAAACTCATCTAACATTTTTAATTTTTAACTAGCTTGCTTACCCGGCTCCGCCCGGCCCTGTCAAAACACTATGTCAAAGAATACTATCTCTATTCCTGTAAGAACCTTTCCCTGTGCCCACGCCTACATGCCAAATCACTATTCCCGCTGTTTTAGTAAGCAGCATGCTAGATTACCCCCCTGTGCCAACTCCCAGCCCCGTTGCTCAAACTTTGCAAAAAAATCGATAAAATCGATAAAGTAATCGACAATCTTGAAAACTAATACTGTATTCGGAATCCCCATGCTCGATTACCCCCTGTGCAAACTCCCAGCCCCGTAGGTGAACTCTGCAAAAAAATCGATAAAAATCGATAAAATCGATATCGATCGATGACGAAAAGTAGCCTATGACACCCGCCGGGGCCCGAAGTGTATGTGTGCCATTTGGTCCGGATCGGTTCAGAAATGGAATTTTCTATTCGGAACATACGTACACACAGACATACATACATACAGACAGACAGACTGACAGGCAAACAGACATTCAGCTTTATATATAAGATTTATTCATTACATCCTTACAGTTTGAAGGCGCTATGAGGGCGTAGCAGTAGGGAATGGTCCAACGCTGGCAGTAGCAACGCTACTCCTACGGCAACAATCAGAGGCGACGCAAATGACCCTCAGGATATACGCTGGGATATGAGGCGTAGCTTTGCTCCATAACGCCTGTCTTTATAACTATGTACTCAAGTTGATGACGCAGGTAACAGCAGAACAATGTCAACGCCGCGTTCGAACCTGCATGTGTCAACTTCAAGCGCCGCCCACTAACTATTCGACCACTCTGCAATTCTCGCTGTTTGCAGCGACATTGATAAAAACGCACAGGTAAGTTGCGCCGGTAAGACGACATGACCAATACACTGCGTAGTAGATGAAAACAGCAGATTGATATAAATAAAGGACAGGCAAAATCGTTGCGAACGAGATTTAAAGGTTTGCAGAAAGAAGGAGGCGCTCCTTGCTTGCTTTTAAAACTTGTAAAAGCATGCTGCTTATGCACAAAAACTAGGGATAGTAAACTTAACTTTGCAATCTAGCCCTTTCCTGAGAAAAAAGGATGTGAATGCATGAAAACACTTACCTTTTCATTATAGTCGCTGCCGCCGAGTCAGCAATTTATGTCGATACTAAGCGTTTTGTCGCGCGCGAAAGTATGCAGTGGCGCTCGCCAATCCGCCTCGCCAAACTTGGGGACGGATAATACGTCAAGCAAAAGAATCAAAAGAATTAGTTTATGGAAAAACTATAATTTTTTGCTAACATGTAGGTTTTCCTTGCACAGATCAATGTGATATATATGAGAAGAAATGACTAGTAATATGAGCTGCGACGTGGGGAAAGCTGTGACGCCTGCATGTGCCGGCGCTTTTTTTGTTGTTGTTTCACTGTTTGGTGTTGTGTGATTGTTTTGACAATATTGTCGTCATATTTGTCTCTTGTTTTCGTATATTGAATAGCGTTATGTTAATTGATCGTTCTCAAGAACTCCGGTTGCTGCAATTGGTGAGTTCCGGCTCTTCTTTCACATCCTTTTTCCTTTTTTTCATTATTCGTTTTTTATTTAAATATTAGGTCGGTGCAAAAGTTTTGTCAATTTTTTCAATTCATTGGCAAACACGTCAGAATGAAGATAAGTTAACATTTCAAAATGCATCCGATGCAAAATTTCTTCCTCTTTCCAGCTGCTAAACTCACATTGTGTTTCGTTGCGAGATTGACGAGTTATTTGCTGGAAATTACAACCACTTGTTTTTACCATGTCCAACTTTCGCTAAGTTTCAAAACTTTTGTATAAGACCTTCGGAGGAGCACAATAAGCATCTGATAGGGCAAACCTTTTGCCAACTTATGCAAATTTTTCTTTTTTTCGGCTGCTTTTCCGGATTTTTGCTAAATAATTTTCTAAAAGTCTTGTGTTTTGGAAAAATCGCATAACCTGTTGTTGCACCAAACACTGCAAAACCTATAGAATGAGGTTTCAACACACGATTATTACTACCGCTACCCTACAAAGTAAATGAGCGATGTTCGCTTCAAATTATGAAGATTTTGGAACATAGGTTACGTCACTGCGCACTCCTGAAATTGGGAAATACTGCGATTTTCCCCACAAATTTCGCCTGTCTCGGCAAGAAAAGACAAGTGTTTGAAA